CCTAGCTGCAGTCCCATTCGAGTAGTCATACTCCTCGGCTAGAAGAAAAGAAAACAATATGATCGACCGATTTCGTTTGAAAACTATATAGCTTGTGTGATGATCATGGCTTGTGCAGAAACTAATAGCAATAGTATGAGATTCTCTCCATCTCTCCTAAACCGCATTAACACTTTAGTCAGCCGTGATCCGTGGAACGCGAAAAAATCCTTTTGAGTTGTGAATGTGGCACGGCCTTTGGCACGCGGGGTCCCCAAAATAAATAAAGCATCAGCATCAGAATCTTATGCGCGTTGGGTGCTGGGCGCCTCTCAGGTACGTTTTTCTCCCCTCATGGCGAGGATTTGGGCGCTCTAAAAAGAAATGCGAGCTTCACGGGTGTTCATCCAGTGTCTCCTTTCTTCTCTTCTAGCCTGCCGAGAATGGCCAGATGCATGCTGCCCCAGACGGGGTTCAACCGTAGACGATGACAAGAGGTAAAGTTTATTTCCTGTTTGTAGATCATTAGTTTTTTCCTAAAACTGTCTAGCCTAGGGTATTTCCCAATGCACCTGATTCGTGTAGGCTTTTCAATTTAGAGAAGCATTAATGTTTCTGATAAATTAAGTGTTGAGAGTGAAACTGTTGAGGATAGAGATATTTTTTAGGTAAGTTAAATTATCCATTATCATACTAAATCTATTATATACTACAATTGTTATTTGCATAGGGATTTGAAAATTTCCTCCAGCTTTAGTAGAAGTCTCATTGATCTTAACTGGAGGGGTGTATATAATAAGATGCCACTAGGAGAGTATTGAATCTTGTCTGGGCTAATGTTTCTATGAATCATGTTTGCATAAACTAGGGGATTATCAACTCCCACTCCAATTGTAGAACTGTTTTAGTTGACAGTAAATATGGCAAACATTAGCTATACACAATTTAGCTAGACTCAAGAAAGACACATGACTAGAATTCATTGACAAGTATACTCAAATGACATGTTTTATGCACTATGCCAAATGGATTGAAGTTCAATTTTATATTCTATAAACTAACATTAGTCACAAAAGTACTAAACAACAACAACATGTCCACATAAATGTCTTCTTAAATTGCATGGTATAGAGTTTAATAAGAATACATGTAGGTTCTTGTTCAACTAGAAAACCACAAATGACCTAGACTCTGGTGCAATGGTTTTGTTGGGAAACTTTGGGATTGGAAGCTACAGAAATGAAGATATAGTTTCAATGATTGTTAGCTATGCCAAACTTGTCTGGATGGGTGGTGAGGTTTTTTTACATCACATGCTAAATGACCATGCCATGCCACACTGATGGGAGTGGCAACTAGTCCTAGCTGCTGCAGGGGTCCTCAAGGCTGACTTCAAGTGACTCTTCTATAATGGCGGCATTTAGGATGTTCTCACTAGGGCGAGAGGACATGTTGCATCTTGGTACCGGGAAAGAAGATGAGTTAAAATTCCTATATCGCTACACTTTCTCATATTGAATATATTTGTCTGGCACCTATGTAGGAACAAGGATGTAATTTGAAGTTTAAGGGACTTGTTTGAGAGAGCAGAAACACAGTATATATATTTCTTAGGTTTCCTCATTGGCAATACGATGCTTTGACTATACAAAGAGGCACAAAGATGGTTGCACAATTCAAGGTTAATGGTATAACTCTAATATTAATGTTGTTCCAAATTGCCTTAAGATGTGAGTTCACATGTTTCTAGTTTTAGTTTTGACAGCACCTAAGGACATCAAAGCTTAACATTATGTACACAACAGAACTTGGCAATAGTTTTGTTTTGGAGGACCAAGCTATGGATGCCAGAGGCCTAATGCAAAATGTATTGTGTGAAGCTCTTTATCAAGTTCTAAGTAGTGTAAGTTCAACTTCATACATCCATGGTTCTCATGCCTCACATTTGCACTTATGTTGTAGTCAATTGGAATGTTTGTGATGGGAGAAGGTGGTGCCTATTAACATCCAAGGATGTTGCCTAGTATGACACGATTGCAGGAATGTTATAAAAACTTTGTAAGTCTCTATAGTCCTTTGTAATGCTTTCTAACAAGGATTCAATGTGCAAGCAATGTTCATGGGTTGGTTTCTTTTCCAAGTGTTCAAGAACAATGTCTAGGTATCATGGACTTGCACAATAGCCATGCTTGCAATAGCAGCAAGGGAGATGCCTGAGCAAGATGACAAGAGATTGTGTCAGGACAGAGTATTTGAAATGGATTTGAAGTCCACCTTATTTGCTGTGTGGAACGCCATAAACATGCTCTGAGGGGTGACAAGTCAAGGCTCTAAACAGGTCCAGAAGGAGTTAGTGGAAACCATTCTTGAGGACCTTACAATTGTATATCTCAACTAACTCTTACAACCACAATAACTATGGACACCATGGAAGAATGCATGTCTATAGTAGTGTGGTAGGTGTTGTTTGACAAGCTAAAGTAAGTGGTATACATGTTAAAGGGCAAGTTTTGCTCACTCCATGATAAAGGGGGCACAGGAAATACCCACCAGTAAAGGATTTTACTTGGCATATTGGCCAGAGCCTGGCACAGATGCACTTCTTCAAGTTTTCCAGGTCTATATGATCATCCAGCTAGAACAATTCATTGAGTGCCCATAATTTAGCAACAATATAGATGAGAACTTGCACACTTGATCAATTGGTTTGCAAGTGATAATCCTCCTAATTTGAAAATTGCTTCTTCTGCAGAAATCAATAGCAAATGGCTCTCAAAATTACACCACTTTGCATGTGACTCCCTTGAATTCAAGTTGAGTGAGCCAATATGGATTTAGTGTTATACAATGAATAACTAACTTGATCGATATCTCATAACTTAGACTTGCTTGAGGGAGATATTGTTCTTGTTAAACTACCCTAGCAAGGAGTGCACACAAGACTTGCTATATCAATCGCTTTTTAACCCAGTCTTGTATGGCAGAAATGATGAATGTGAATTTGAACTCTTATAAAGTAAGAAATTTAAAATTGTCTAGAGTCTAAATTCATCATTTCTTATTTGTTGAGAATATTTTATATATTCTACCAGGCATTTTATTTTTCACTCGTTTCCTTTAGTAGACAAAGATATATTCATCATGGCTTCTAATAAATCTTCTAAAATGGGATTTGCTTTAGGAACAAGAGTCACAATCTTCTAAACCATGTTTTCCTCTTTTATTTGGGCTTGGTGTTGGAAGGTGGCTTAAACTGTTGGCCATAATCATGTGGATGAAACCACAGGCCTAGAGCTTTTTTATAGCCAGATCTCTACTTCATATGGTGAGTAAAATCCCCTCTAAAGCACTATGCAATCTGATAAACCCTTGACCTACTCCATAGAATGAGAGGGAGAAGGATTGATGGAGCTGTGTGAGACAAAAATCAATGTAGCGAAGTATAGAAAAAAATTATTGCTTACCAAAGGATGAACAATACTCCTATGTTTTCTTGCCACAACAAACAACATACATAGAATAGTTTTAGCCCATTCTTGCTCACCTAAAATCTTGGATTTTTAATTTTTCACTACAACAGCTAGTTTAAATTTGCCAAAGTTTAACATATCTTAAAAGCTACAAAAGAAATTTTGGCATTCAAGTTAAATTTTTTAATTTGCTATTGCCAAGAACTCTCTGGTCCTTGGCTCTCTATAGATCAGGCCTGGTAATTGTTAATCTATCGAATTTTAATTTTTCCCATCATGAGAAGAGTACTCCGGCAAAGCTCGGTGTCTCAAAGGCCCCAGTCCATTGCCTCTCCTCCGCTCCTGAATGTTAGTGGTGTTGCCCGGTAAATTTAAACCTACTTTGATTCTTTGCCGGCATCGATAAGGCATCTCAGACTTGCATTGCCAAAATCATCAAAGACGACTACGTTTCATCCTCGCCTGAGCTGAGCACATTGGCAAATAAGGCCAGTCAAATTTGTGACTGAGAAAAAAATTTGTTAACTGGTGCTGGATCCCTCAGAAGCTCAACGTCATGCATTCAAGACAAACGGACACCAGCAAAGCGCCGCATGTACCAGGAGAACTTCCAAGGATTTCAGTAACTTACGAAAATACTGTATACTGGAGTATTTGAAAGTCATGCTCTCGCTGTCAAGTAGAGCTTCCCATCATTTCCGTGGTAGTCATAGCTATTTGGCTCTCATCTGGAAAAGAAAAGAGACTTTCTTCTCTGTCAACCACCACTCGTTGTAATGTTTTCATATGTGAATCGAGATCACTCCTTTTTGTCCTGAATCTCAAACGGCCGGCCTATTTCCCGGGATGTTTCTCTGACCTGGAGATTTGAAGCCGCCGGGCACTATCTATCTAGCCATTGCCAGATGAATGTAGGGCAGAGATCCACAACAGAATGGTGCCACGGAATGCACTACACCCCTGTTGCATTGAAGTCCAACTTAAGCATAGCAAATTTATTGTTAACCTATGAGATAATCAAATAAATAAGGACGTCCAGCTGGGCTCCAAAAGCAGCTGGGGCATAAGACGTCTTCAGAAAGCACAAGAGTCTCAAAAGAGCTTTTTCTGTAGGAGAACAAGCAAAACAATAGTGATAGGTTGAATCGTAGTTAATCTTGAAAAATCTTAGAACAGCACAGCATATTCACTTTTAAGAATCACAGGCAAAAAACGATAAGGAATTAAAAAACAAAAATCAACTTTAAGACTTACTCCTCAAGATGCTTGCTTGCTTTTCCGTCATCAAAGCATAGAAGGAATGGACGGGATCCAGGTAGACAGGACGCACTGGCCCAGGAAGCCTATTAAGCAATTCCACATAGAGCGTAATATTCTCGGGTTCTGGAATCTGGAACACTTTGAGATGGATGTATTTTGAGCTGGTTTGCATCTACTAAGAGAAGCGCCACAAGCAAGAGAAATATAGATTCCCACATAGTGCTGTTGCTAGCTTAAAAAACCGCGTGCCCTAATAGGACTAAAACGAATCTTCTATTTATAATAGCTTATAAACAAGCCTTGTATCGATCTGTTGTTATCACCCTGTACACAGAATGTTAGAAGTTGTTTATTAGCGCGTGAATTAATTCTTACATTGAGGGCATTCATCAAAAGCCGGTACTGGGTTTTCGAGATCGTTCGTGGCTGCAACATCAAAACCATGGTCAGCGGAAAAGAAACAAAAGATTAAGGAAATAATTTGTTTACTCTTCTCAACACGCTCCATGTCACTTGCGATCCAACATATCTGAAGAATCGCTTGCCTCCAATATTGAGCAGCGAGGGATCCACCACTTGAACATCTTGCTCGCCACTCAGCTCAGGTAGAAAATGCTCAACCTTACAAAAAAGACAGCAGAAATCACAAAGAAAACCCAGATCTCTATTTACATGATCGATAAAAGGGTCGTCCTCGGATCCAATCGTGTACATGACGGCGACGACTGCAAGCCTGTTGTCTTCACTCCTGTGGACGAGATGCCCCTCGACTGCGAGATGCTTCCCATTCACAGTGTGCTCGCTGGGAGCATGGATGTGATACTCGCTCACACTGTACAAGGTGCCATCGATGATGAGCGATCCCGATGAAGAATCGCCAAACTCGAGCTATTGCGCAAACAGAGAAAAGAAAAACGAGGGGCCCGAGCCATGATTAGATGGACATCTTTCGGAGGACAGATGGATTCAGGAGATACATACTGTAATGTCGTGGTCGAGATTGGTGAGAGTGGCATTCGTTGGTTTGTATCTCGTCTGGAGCAGCTTCAAAGAGCACACTCCTCGGATTGAATGTCCACCGGAGATTGCATTCTGCCGCTGCTGCAAGCCCTCCATTCTTGTCTCAAGTTTCCCCAGTTTGCCTGGCCTCGAGTCCCATTCGAGTAGTCATACTCGTTTCCACTCTGGAGAAAGTGGAAGGGCCTGCTCAGTCAATAGTGACTGTTGACTTTGGTCGTGCACGAGAGCGTATGAATGTGCTTTATTTTTTCTCTTGTTGCGGCCTTCTGGACTGTGCCGCCAAATAGGGAGAAACCATATTCTTCCTTTGGAATTTCGTATTTTGTTGGAATACATCCCTGCCTATTAGTGTTTTTGTGTAGGCAGTAGCTTCTCTGCTTCAGAAAAGATGGGCCGGTTTGGAGAAATCAAACGCGGCATCTGGCTATAGAGAGAACGTTCCATTCTAAAACTTTATGTGTCACGAGGAATTTTATTCTGGATGATGATGTCAGGCGACAAACATAAACAGTTTGGCATTTTCCTTGAACATATGCTTGCAGCCTCCTAGAACTGCGCTGCTTGATCTACCAATTCGAGTAAGGAATGGGGCATTCCGAGAATTGAACTCGGGACCTCTCGCACCCTAAGCGAGAATCATACCACTAGACCAAATGCCCATTAGTCAGCGAAATTTCCATGTTTTCCGTACGGATGATTGAACAAAAAAAAAGCATCAGCATCAGAATATTGTGGGGCGTTGGCCTCTCAGGTACGTTTTTGTCCCGAGGATTTGGGCGCTCTAAAATGAAATGCGAGCTGCGCGGGTGTTCTTCACAGTGTTTCTCCTCTCTTCTCTTCTAGCCTGTCGAGAATGGCGAGATGCATGGAGGATTTGGGTGTTCCATGGCGAGGATTTATGACGCGGGCGTTCTTCCACAGTGTTTCTCCCCTTCTCAGCATGTCGAGGACGGCGAGACTGGCGAGCATGGCGAAGCAAGACATTATGACGCGGGCTCCTGGGCCCGGCATCTGGCGAGAGATGGCACAGAATGGCGATGATTTGGGCGTCCTGGCCATGGCGAGGCAGGCCAGGCGTTCTTGGGCGAAGATCTGGGGGTTCTTCCAGTGTTTCTCCTCTTATCGAGAACAGCGAGTTGCATGGCAAATGGCAAGGACTTCGACGCTCTGAGCTTGATTGTTTGGAGATGGCGGTGAGCGAAGGGAGCCAAGATCTCTCTTGGAAATGGCAGAACAAAGCACTGTGAGGTTTCGGGTGTCTTCCCCGAAGACGTTGCATTTGGAACGCGCCTTTCTTCTCGGCGTTGAAGAAACCGCATTAGAACAAGGAGCTTGGAGCGGGAACAGTTCAGATGTCTGATGGCGACTGACATGGATTACCGGGCTTTAACCGCGAGGGACAAACGCTCTTGGAACAACCGGCCATTGACCCTGGCGACTGACAACAAGACTGGGATCCTCTGACTTATGATCCCTTAGCCCATAAATACCTCACACAGCCAGCTCGGAGCAAGAGCTGTTGCAATTCTTCTGGCCGGGAGTCGAGCCACTGGAGGCAGCCGTGATCCAGTCGACCCATGCTGCAACCATTTGAAGGAAATCTAAATACGTCTCACTTCTACAAAGCCAAAGGTACTCAGCAAGAAGAGAGACGTGAATCCCACGCTGTCCGGCGACGACTCTTGTCAGTGTTGGCGAGTCGGATATAACGACCTCGTCTACCGTTCGTTCTTCCCGGCCAGAGCTCCGGGGTGATCCTAAACGTAAGCAGCCACTTCTCTGAGAGCGGCAATGGTCCCTCTCTTCAGTCCTTCGCCATATTGTGGACAGTGGCAGCCTCTCGGATTGTTCCCGCCAATCGATTGATCCAGCATGATGCAGTCCCGGGAGAGAATAGCTTGGCATTGATCTCCCTGAGGATTTCCAGCTCGAGAACGAGTGTTGGGTCGTTTCCTTTGTGGGGCTCGTCTCTTTGCTGCGAATGGATTTGTCGAGAAAGAGAGCGCTCGGTTGTGTGTGGAAAAAGCATGGCCTTAGTCTGAGGGCTCTCTTTTTATTTGGTGTGTTCATCATCCATAGCAAGCTCTCTCTACAGAGCGTTTATCAATGGTGACTACCATTGTACAAAGAGGAGATTAGAGTCTGGGGTGGGCTGCCAGCCAGAGATCCAATCACGTGCCAACTACATACTGTGGCAGGTTTCTTGCCACGATGTGGACCTCGGCATCGTCTTCCAGGAGAGAGTCCTCGGTCAATCAGACCTCTCAAGATCTTCATCCTACTGACTTTCACTCTCTCCTCCAGGTTTTGCTCTTGAAGAAACTACATAACCACCTGCAACAAGAATATGTAATGTAGATCACAAATGTCCATCTTGGACCTTTCTTAGAGAGCTTGGAAGCTCCAATTGCCACCCCATTGGCTACACAGTTGGAGCCACAGGGAGACGATCAACCTGCACAGCGGCCACGCTACTGAATCCAAGAGAGTGAGTTTCACAATTGGCTACGCTCAACTGGGAATAATGTCTCGGCCACAGTGCCTATTACAAGCAGCCAACTCGGGATTCCTGGTCCTGATAATGCACAGCCACAACGCCTACTGAATGCACTGGATCGTTTCTGCTCTCTCACTGGCCTAAACCTTGAGAACACTCAAAGTGGGAAAAGACGTCTTGGGTTACCCCGGTATGGAAGTGAAGGCTCACTACAAAAACATCAAGAGCTGGATTAGCATGAGGCTCCGCTACGATCACCTGGCAGGCCTTCGTCGAGCATCCTTTCAAACAACTCCCCGTGTCTTTCGCCATGAGCGAGCTCCAAGTCACCACGAGCTTCCTCCTTGCCAGTGACTCGCAGGATCGTCAAGGCAAGCGCACTTGCTGTAAAGACCCACAGAGAGCTCGCCACGTAAGTCCTGCCTTCCAGTCCATGCCTGCAAATCTTTGCATGGAGCTCTTTGCCAGCTTCTAGCATTGGCAGAGAAGGAAGAAGGCCAGGAAGTGAGAGAAGAGTTTGTGAAGCTAAGACAGCTTGAGCAAGGGATGGCTGTTCACTCCCAGTCTGGTAGGGATGTATGCCGAGTGTGCAAGTCTGAGCTGGTTTTCAATAGAATGAGGTGTACTCTGGGCGGCACTATGCCGGTGATGCAGTGATCGCTCTAGAGCTCGTTGAAATAATGCTGTCCAGCGGATGTCAGCCAAACTCTTGGACTTTCATTGCGGCACTGGTCGCTTGTGAGCTTGTGCAGACCATCAAAGCAGTGACGAAGCTTCTTGGGTCTGGTCCTTGCAAGTGAAAACACAGGCATAGAGCCTCCTCGCTCTCTCTGTTTTGCACGTAATCCAGCATCAGTGCGTTCCACAGCACTATGTCCGGATGTAAGATCTTCTCAAAGACTGCTCGAGCATTAGCTTAGGCTCCCACATGTCGTGCACATGTCAACCAACAAATTTGTCCGACTCAAAACCCACACTTGCAAGCCTGATGGTGACGAGGCATATAGACAAGCTTTCCATCGTACCTGTTGCTTCCTCTTCGGCTCCCAAGCTCAAGCATGTCATTGAAACGGCAATGTAAGTCCCTTTGTGCTAGCCTCCATCCTGCTAAACAGCTCTAGAGCTGACTCATCATCCCCAGACTCCACATATCCCTATATCACAGCGTTTCATAGCATTATATCTCAGTGCTGGTTGTTCTCAACTTGAGAGCCCACTGCATCTGGAGTACATGTCCATCAGCAAGCTCACCACAGACATTTCTGATCCAAATCCCAAACCCTTTGGGACAACCCAAACAAACTCTGAAGAACAAAGCAACAGCTCCAAGGATCAGTCAGGATCAGAAGGAGAAACTCCCAGCAAGAAACCGAAGCCAGCATCTCAACAATTAGGCTCAGCTCACTCCAGTAACACCAGCTCCAGCAACAAACACTCCAACGATTCAACTCTACTTTGCCGCCACCTCACACGCAACACACCAGCGAATCCAGCTCGAAAGCTGCTGCTTTGAGAGCACCTCATCATCAGTGACAATGAAGACAACTCACACTAGCTTCCACACTCACCCCAACACTTGGATCCACTCGAATCAGCCCCAAAACTGACAACTTCTCACCAACAACTCAACATCTCCAAAGGAAAACGTTAGCTGCTCACCCAGAACTCGGTTTCTCCACCAGCTGAGAACGTTATTCTCACCACCCCGACCCCCTTGACACGCTCCACGAAGGAAAACATCAACTACCTCTCCTGCTCTCGACCTATCAAATCGGAGCTTTTAGTCCAAACATGTTATGCTCGTTTGGCTTAAGCCTTCTAGCTAAAAGTCTTGGAAGGGCAGGAGGTTGGTATTGCTAGACCCATTATCAATTTGCTATCTAACTTTAGTATAGATTTTCTTTTTGTTTGCCGATCACTCACAACCATGCTTCCTCAAGCAAGTGGCAGGTCCAAATTCTTTGAGGTGGTTGGAGATGAGCGTTTTGGATTGATGCTGGATGAACAGCTCA